GTCATTTAATGGTAAACATGCTGCTAAAAACATCTGTTCTCACAAATTGATGATACGTGATTTTTAATGACGCAAGGGCCAAGTGCGGCCAAAGAGCGCCATGGATGATAAATGATCAAGAATGATATAATGTATGTCATATGGCTTTAAAGTGGTTAAAAAACATGCACCGTGTGGAAGTGTAGCATATATATGCAACAGCATTATGACAGTAATATGTGGCTTGATTTATAGGCGTTCACAATGAATGGCAAGTTACCATGACACTAAAATTTAGAAATGTGGAAATAGCACATAAGCCTACTCAAGGTCTTTGAGCCCCATATGCTGGAAGGCAGGTGCTTTCTAGTGCGACTACCACAGCATCAGCCTCTGTAAAGAAGCCATGCAATGGATGACCTGGAACCAGAACATGAAAACTGTTTGCATCTTTTCTGTTCCTGAGCACTGCAGGAGGGAAAGAGAATACCTGCATCTCAGTTTTGTGCATGCTATTTTGATATAATTTGCTAACATTAAATTTGAACAGCTAAAATGCCTTGAATACTTGAAAAAAAAAATCCTTATTGAACAAGATTTTGCATATTTTTTAAATGACTAATACAATGCCACAGTTTAACTTCAAAATATAACAGAATGCACCAGTAGTAATCTAGTTCAAATTGATAGGTAAGGTTCACATTTACACCTTGCTATATCACAGGCAAAAATTCCATCTTTATGCATGGCATAGTCAACAACTATATGTGAGTGTGCTTTCTTCATTTTTCTTTTAATGCATATGGGGCTGCAAAAAGTGTTGATATAAGAGGCTGCCTGAAAAAAAAAAAAAAAAAACTAGGTCCAATAAGTTTAGAAAATACAATAATAAGCATATTGCCCACACCAGCCCTAGTATATCGGGTGTTCAAAGTTAAGCTTCATGATTTTTTAAAAATTAGGCGCTGAAAGGCACGTGAGAACCACTTGTTAATAAGTTAAGCGGCCAGGGGGACAGAAAGTTAGATGATAATTATCGCTCTCAGCAGCCCAATTACTAATTAACCTTTTACTGGCTGCAGTAAGTTGGCATGTTTATATTGAAAAAATGTAGGCAGTGGTGGTTGTACACAGTTTCAGTTGCAAGTTTTTTTCTAGCACGCCTGTGCTCTGAGATATCCGGCTCCATAGTTTAATTGTCTTTTGCATGATTATGCATGCAAGAGGGTGAGGGTTCGCGCAAAGCTCTTCCATAAAGTGACGCATCTGTTGTGTGTGGTGTTTAGTGTGTGAAGAGGGTGGAAGCGAAGGCATACATGATAACAATTACCCTTGCCCTCTCGGCCGCTGAATAATATGGCTGCTTCTGGCGTGAGGTATTCTACCAAAGAAAAAGTAGACGTGGTGCTTGCAATGGCTGAAATTAATGGCAATGCTTTGTTAGCGATGGTCTTGCCACCCACACCATCCCCTTCAAGCAAGGCCCACTTTCGTAAATCTATTTCTACGCTTTCGCACAACAGCCTCTGTCCACTTTCCAAGACGGACTACGAAGGCAATCTTCGATGAAGACTTTGAAATCGATGTCGCGTGCGCAACCTCAATGCCAGATCTCAGCATCTGACAGACTGCCGATCAGTGCAGTTGCAGCGTCGGAACAGTCCCAAATGTTCCAAGAAAGCACCAGTTCCATCCATATTACGTTTACCTTCATCAGGACCTAAATGAGGTGGACTTTGAAAGGAAAGTTGACTTCTGCAATGGGGCCTCATCAAAACTGATTAAGAAAATGACTTTTTGCACAGAATAATTTGGACTGATGAAGCTCGGTTTCGCCGGAATGGAAGTGTTAATCTTCACAACGCCCATTATTGGGCACGAGAAAACCTACACTGGCTGAGGCAGCCCAAGCATCGAGTTAACAGGAGTGTGAGTGTGCGGTGCGGCATACTCGAGGACAGGATCGTCAAACCTCACTTTTTTGAGGACAACTCGAACTAAAAGGTGTATACAGAAGAAATATTAGGTGTTGTCATTGATGACCTTGTCTGCAATCTTTCCCTGAATGACCTGCACCAAGTATGGTTTAAGAACGATGGAGCCCCACCAGATTTTTCTACCTGGGCAAAGAACTGGTTGGACAGACGTTTTTCACAACAGTGAATTGGGCGAGCAGGAGCGACGTTTTGGCTACGAGGATTTCCTGACCTTTCTCCACTCGACTTTTTCCTTTAGGACTACGTTGAAGATCGAGTTTAAGCAACAGAGCCTAGCGTTGTTAATGACATGAAGAACAGAATAAGATCTGCCCGTGCGAGTATTCCTGCAGAAGTAGTGCGCCGAGTCATTGAGTCAACGCGAGATTTGTTTATGCTTTGCGTTGCTGCCAAAGGCAGGCATTTTGAAAACTTTTTGGGGCATTGACATCTTGAGGGGTGATGAGTTTCGATGAGATTTGTGCATGACCGAAATGAGCTTATGTACCAGTAAAAAATATGGGACATCAAGGATAAAACTGTTTCAGTTATTATTGATGGAGTTGTTGCTCTTGATTTCAATAGAAGTTACATTATTCAGACATCAGCAGTCACGCTATTCCCGTAGCCCAGGCAACAACCACACACGCTTCTCTAGTCATTATTACACACGTGCACTGGCATCCAGATTCTCCGCTCACACCCTTATTCTGCCATGGTATTTGCATTATTGTTAGAGGTTCTGCAGTTGGGTGTTACGACACCGTTTGCAAGGGTTCTTCGACTTTTGATTTCGCCAACCGAGAGGGCAAGGGTAATTGTTATCATGTATGCCTACGCTTCCACCTTCTTCACACACTAAACAGTGCACACAACAGATGCATCCCTTTAGGGGGGAGCTTTGTGCTGGCCCTCACCCTCTTGCATGCGTAATCATGCGAAAGAGAATTAAACTTTGGAGCTGATTTGTGGGGTTTAACGTCCCGAAACCACCGTTTGATTATGAGAGACGCCGTAGTGGAGGGCTCCGGAAATTTTGACCACCTGGGGTTCTTTAACGTGCACCCAAATATGAGCACACGGGCCTACAACATTTCCGCCTCCATCGGAAATGTAAACTTTGGAGCTGGATATCTCGGAGCACAGGCGTGCAGAAAAAATCTTACAACTGAAACTGTGTACAAACACCACTACCTACATTTTTTTCAATATAAACCTGCCAACTTACCGCAGCCAGTAAAAAGTTAATTATTAAATTTTAGTTGATTGGGCAGCTGACAGTGATCATTATCATCTAACTTTCTGCCGCCTGGCTGCTTACCTTATTTGCACAAGTGGTTCTCACGTGCCTACGAGCATCTAATTTTTAAAAAATCATAAATCTTAACTTTGAACACCCATTATATCGGACGAGCATGCAGTCGATCTCGAATATATAAAACTCGGATATATAAAATTATTGGCTATATCGAACAGTTGAAAAATCCCCGTGAATTTCCCATGCAAAAGTATGGGATTGGTGCAGCCATATATCGAACTCCCGCACAGCGGGACATCCGCTATATCGAACGCTGCGCCGCGCCGAATCCCAGAAAGTGCATTTTTCCTAGCAAATATTGATAAATTTTAAGCACGGTTCTAACAAGTTCCAATCCTTTCTCGCGCACAGGCGACGAAAAAATGGTGTCATTTCATCGCGCTGATCTGGTTCGTTGCGCGGCACTTGCGTGTACATCAGTGGGTTTGATGCTCAATCTGCAGGTCTTATCGCGCGGGCATAGTGCTTTCCAAAAGACAGATTGCCGAGGGCACTGAAAGGGAATGCAAAGTGACTCGGTGATCTCAGTGCAATGTTCGCATGTCGTTCGCATTCCTTTCCTTATTTGTTAGCACACATTGGCATGCGAGCATGAAAAGCATGGCCTTCGAGATGTGTGCAACCTTTCGACGTATTTTTTAAGTGTTTTTGGTTTCAGAACGCGTGTCTCGGAGGCTGTGCTTTTTTTATTGTTTCTTATCAAAGCCGCTAAAAGCAACGGCTGCCAGCTACAAAGCCACAGTGACATCGATATCGACAACATGTCTACAGAGAGAACTCCGACGAACTCGGCGTTGCATGTTTTGCACCTTGTGGCATTCTCACCTCGTTCCTGATAAATCCTCATTCGGGAGTTGAACTGAACGTTGACCCACATGTAGAGATAAAAATTATGCCTGGCACTTGGAGCGACGTCAAGTATAACACTGTCCTAAACGTTCCTTGCGGGCCAGATGACGACTTCGGGTGCATCATGACTGCTGACAACGGCGTATGATGCCTCAGTGAATTTTGCGACTTATCAGCGTTTCCAGGCACCATCTCGGACAGTAGTGACTTCATCGGTACAGATGACGATGTTTTCGACTGCATTGATGGTGAGATTTTGGCTGCTGTTGCCGGTACCGCGGAATTGTAGCCACGCAGTTATGAAGGTGCCAACGCCTTCGCTTTTGCCGTTAACTAAGCTTTTGCTGCACTACAAAGCTTGCATCGGCGTTCTGCGTCAATGAAAGTTGCGGCTGAAGGAGCTAAGCTCACTTATTTGAAAAGTTTCGATGATATTAAGGATGACTGGAACTTGACGGCGTGCAAGAAGCAAGGCAAGTTTACGGACTAAATAAAGTGGGGTAACCTGCAGTTCGCCTCTTGTTTTTGAGCGAATCGTTATGTTAGCTCCTGTCGCGACTTACGAGGCCTAAAATTCTTCAATTTAGGCCTTAAATATGCATATTTTATATTTCGGACTCTTGATATATTGAACTATTTCACGATCTCGTCCGAGTTCGATATATCCGGTATCGACTGTATAATGAATGTGTGTCTACGAGCTGTAATATCCCTTTGAATATATTTCCGACAAGCAAAATATTTTACATATCAAGTTACACATAAATAGTGATCTGTTGTGTGATCCTCGTCCCTTTTCATTATACAGGTTCAGCTGTATCACATTTGAAGCGATTGAAATAGGCAGGAAATAAAAAGAAAAGTACGCTGAAAAGTACCTTTTACAAGTTCAACAGGAAACACATCCATCTTTTCGATTCTTTTTTCAAGCTCGTATTCTGCCGATGCCGATACTGGATCCACTTCATCGTTCCGTCTATCATACTCGTCAACTGAATGTGTGCTGAAAACCTACACATAAAATGTAAGAAAGCAGCAACAGCAATAAGTAAAGATACTTAAGCTGCACAATGATAATAACAGAAGTGCCCCTAAAACTTCATGAATTTTCACATATATAATCCTGTAAGCAATTGGAGAGTCTCCTAGCATCACAGATAAAGAGATGATTAAGCACCAAATACTTATAGACCACAACGATGCTGATAAAGATCAAAGCATACAGAAGAGTAGCACAAGCTGGCCAGAGTAACACTCACAGGTTCTCAGCCAAAAAGCCTGATTAAATGCAACCTTTTGTGTGCCTGCAGTGTATATATATATCCCATTCAGTGGTGAATTATGATGCACTGTCTAAAAATGTGTCACATCGACATATATTTCTAAGGAACTGAATATTACATTACAATAAAAAGATGAAAAAATATACTGCTTCACGAGAGTTTCAATAATAAATTCTAGTTACTCTGCAGTAAGTCAAGTTCCATTTCAACATAAAAAGAGTAGAATCATAGGCTCCAAATATGCACAAATTAGTTTTTAGTGGTATTCATTTCAAGAAAAGTAATAGAATTAATTTTCTTGGTGGAATGCGGCACTTCAAACATCATAGTTTCTTTATCAGTGATCAATCAAAGGGACACTAGAGTGAAATAACGACTTGGTTTAGATTTAGAAACTGCAGTCTAAGAAATCTAATGTCATAAGTTTCACTATCATAAGTTTATTACACTCAAACCTCATTATAACGAAGTTGCATCTTACATACAATTAAGTTCATTATATCCGAAAATTCATTATAAAAGTTAATTCCTAGCATTGTACTTAGTGCAAGACAATTTTTCATTTACTTCATTTTAACTGATATTTCATCATATCCAGGTTTTTTTGTATCAAGGTTTAGTATATTAGCGGAGAAAATAAAGGCTGAAGTTTCATTTTTAAATTTTGCGCAGAGATTTCTGTGCGTGACATCACGAGTTTCATGAACCCTTCACACAAAAATTTTGCCCCCTTTTTTTTCGTTGTCGTTGCAATAGGCAGCTTGTGACCCACATATGACAGAAGGAAACCTCGTTTGTGCAAATGTTATTTAAAGACATTTCTAGAGTGCCATGTTTCAGTTTCGGTTTTAAAGAGCACCGTGCTACGGTGGAGCAGTTCTGGCGGCAAGTTAAACACAGCTGGCCACATGATCACTCAAAACTGTGACGCCAACGGGGCACATGCAAAGCCTCAAGCACAGCAGGAGAAATCACAGATAGCGTAAGCGCAACCAACCAACCAAGAAAAACTTGTGACGTAGGTTTGTTTGCCCTTTGCAGAGCCTCTTGTGACGCCGACCGCTGCGCTGATGTCGGCATCGCAAGGGGCTCCACATCTCGCTCAGTCACACAGCATGCACTTTAAATTAGATTTTAAATATGTTATAGGCTATATTTTCCCATAATATTTTGTAAATGTTGTGCACGTCTCCACATAACTCTATGTCACTCATTATCTCACCTTCAGAATTTAATGTCGGTGCTCCTTCCAAAATGTATTTTTCGTATTTTTAAGACATGACCTTGATGAACTGTTCTGAAACTTTGTTATGTCTATGGCACCCAATGTTAGGTATATGGCACCCACAGATGACAATGTACTTCCTTTGTACCAATTAGAAACTACTTAGAACCCAGTAAATGGCATGAAAATAGTGGCATTTAATGCAGGAATCTAAAGATGGTGCCTACCCCCTCATTTTCTTTTCACATGTTTGTTCACTTAACTAGTGTCGCATCGTATTAACAGTGGTGTTTTCAATACTGTGAAATTATACTTAATATACGAAAAATCATTTTCTCTCTCAATTGTTCCTCTAAAGTCATACATAGCACACTGAGGCTATGGTTAAGCAGGGGTGCAACAGCCATAACAGAATTTGGAGCAATTTTCGGAGCAGCAAAATGTTACTTTTGGAGCACAAAAATCTCAATTTGGCGCAGTATAAAAGAAGTCTTGCATTTAGAAAAAACATATGTACAAATCATTCAACATGCCCTAAATCGTGCAGTGGGAGAAAGGGCATTGCTGTTTCAATAAAATTAGTATTATAAACCACCTCCTTAAGCAACTAACGATAACTTCCACATTAGCATTTACTGCGTCTGACTGCGAATTCAAATGTGGATCTACCAAGCTGGCGAGCTTGAAATTCAGGGATTCATAAGGGTGGCGGAAAAATAAAAACTGACACAGTTTGGTTAGGGTACCAAAAATGTCATACATAGCTTCAAATTGCCAGTAACTTGTTCAAACGTCATCAATCCTACTAGTATTCACAATTATGCACCGAACACATGCATGAGTAGTTTAAACAAAATGTGCGGTGTCCAGTGATTAACGCCAATAGCCCCTTCAAAATCAAAATTTGCTTCACCGCAGAGCACTGGTGTACTGCGGAGAAGGCAGATTTAGCAGCAGCGTCATGCACGAGCTAGAACTAGTCATGAAACACCGCTACACCCCCCCCCCCCCCCCTCATTTTTTTTCGCGATGGGGTTGGTTTAGGGCACAACTTCTTGTCTCGCTTGCAAGGCGCGTTCGATGAGATAATTTAACAAAGGCGCTCGATAGTCGGCCCAGTGATGGCACCGAGTATCTATCACCGAGTATCTATCACCGAGACACAATTTAAGACAGAAAAATGTGTTTACATGTGCCCTTGCTGTGGCAACCAACGTGGTCGTCGGCAACACTGACTTTCACCGCACGTCAAGTCTCTTTGAGCATGGAAAACGCAGCATATTAGTTACTAACATGTCATAGCCACGTTACATGACAAGGAAGTTCATATTTCCTGCAAAGCGTTGGTGGCTACAGCAATGCTTTTTTGTTTTCGAGTTGCGTCGTCCCACCGACAGGTATCCGCAGCGATCAGCGAACCGATGGCGCAGGGCTTTATTACTTTATCTATTCAATTGCATGTCGCGAGTGCCCCCGACTTGATTGGAATATATTTTACACCGTGGTTTAGGGTTAGAGTCTGCGCGCTTAGACTGATTGATTGATGACACAAACTGCAAGCAGATAGCCAACGTGGCCGCCATGCCTAACTGAAATTAGCGCAACTGAAAATGACACAAACTGCAAGCAGATAGCCAACGTGGCCGCCATGTCTAACTGGAATTAGCGCAACTGAAAAAATTTCCGAGGCTGGTCGGGCAGTTCAGCGCAGCGTGGCGCAGTTTGAGCAAATTTCATGGTTTTGGCGCAGCATGGCGCAAGAATGGGGAATTCTATCAAAATGGTGCAATGGGCGTAGCCATTGCACCCCGGTTAAAGCATTCACTATGGAGAAAGTCAAGTTAACCTAATGAGTTAGATATCTTGCTCTATTTAAGTCACAAGTGGACATAACTAGCATAAACAATTTGTGTACAAAAACCACCGCTAAAGGGGGTATTGTGTTTCAATGCCTTCAGAAATTATAAAATGAAGAAAGAAGGCCAGAAGCTTTTGAAAATTTTTCTTCACTATAGTGAAGTACTTATCAGCCAATGAACAGGCTTTTATCATATCAACATACTATTAAGGACAACGGTGTACTATCCGCTCCGCTGTGCTCAGGATAAGCACTCATAGCCACTAATAAAGTCAGAAATTTTTTATGGGGGAGGGGGGAGAGGATTCAACCATACTTTAATTACGTTTGCGCATGCATTTGTACATTTGCATGGGTATTACACGTGCAAAATCTAAAATTTGAGGTGGAAGGAACGGCTTGAACCCCCCAACCCCCCATGGCTAAGCCCCAGCACACAGGCAGGTGGAGCTGCTTCGTTGCTATGTGGACAAGAAACGATCACTCACCTCACAAAAGTGTACAGAGAACAAATGCATACAGTACAGTAAAACCTCTCTGATGTGTTAGGTTTCCCCAGCCCTTACACTCTGAGACAACAATCCTGTTATATTCACTAGGGTTAGATGCATTAACAACTTCTACTACATTATTTAAAAAACTACTTTCAACCCAAGCAGGTCAGCTACGTCACCAAGTTTAGTATAAATCATTTTTTGTAGTAGCCTAGCACAGACAATGGCCCTTCAATGTATACCTTGATGGGTTCAGTGCTGAATTTGACACGTGACGGGCGTGGCTGAAAGGGCACAGGATATGGCTCCTCTTCGTCGTCGCTTGCCAGGCCAGGCTGTTCAGTAAAGAAGTGTCCATCTGGCAGCACATGGTAGGCGACGCCCTCCTCCTCCACCAGCACTACGCTGGGTGGCCGACTCTCATCTTCAGCCACCGTTGGCGATGGTGTGCGCAACACAAGCAGCCGTCTTACCTCTTGCGCTTCTTCATCACTCAATATCTCTTGTTGGCGGCTGAAACAAAAACACAAACCAGCTCTACAACCAACTAGGCGAAGCCAGTCCATGGTCTCACAAAGCCTGCTACAACTGCATCAGGCAAAAAAAACAAAAAAACATACCTCTGTCAAGTTGTTTCACTGTATAAAATGCTTGAGACTCTACTATCACTGACACTGTCTTTTAAATGGACATTAAAGAAGACACTTACAGTACCAGTAAATTACTCTCACACTATCCAAATTCCTACGCTTACCACAAGAAGACACTTGGTATGCAAGAGAACACACAAAAACAAAATGTGGGTGGCACCACCGCCTCAAAATTCCTGGAAATCATAGATTTGAAAGGTGTGCCGTAGGTCTTACATAGTTCCTAATGGGCAAAAATGAACTATGTAAACTGTTCTTTTTGACATACCAAGTATCGTTGAGCCAATGTCACCAAAATGCGAAAAGCACACTTTGAAATCCGTGAGGTTTTGGTACGAAATTTTAAAATGAAACCTTGACCTTGATTTTTCCTCTTAAAAACCTATGATGGTTAAAGTAACAACATTAAAAGTTTTCAGAGAACATTTCATCAGTCTAAACCAACTTATAGTTTCATTTTACTGTCCCTTTGAAGATAACAAAATGGCAGGACTAACAAATGTTTTTCAAACAGTGCTTTGGGGCAGCTAATCAGCAGCAAACCTCTTTCAATGAAGCTTTCCATAGTCCCAAATGCACAGTCACTGTGAGCAGCAACAGCTGATGTACAAGAAGCAAAAATTTCTGAAAGATTAAAACAAACGAAAATTAAGCAGCTTTGCTCGAAGAAGCGTTGACAGTGATAGCAAGGGTTAGCACCGCCCTCAAACTTCTTGGAACAACTTCCAACTAACATTGTGGAACATGCTGGCATAATGCAGTCAAGGCAACGCCTACTCGGCATAAGGAAGAGCACCCCTGCAGCTACCAGCCGTATGAGGTGAACAAAAAACTGTCAGCAGTTTATCAGAGCCAGACTCGAACACAGTACTATATAAAAAAAGGTAACCAATTACACTCACTTCCCACAAAATTACACTCACTTCCCACTGAAGATGTTTCAACTAGGAGGCTAGACTTTGTCACCTTGACAAAGACGAGTCACCTGGATGAAATGTTGGCTTTAGCAACACTTTGTTTCACTTCTCATCACTTTAAGCCACCATCTTTCAACTCTTGCCTCGATTCCCCCCCCCAATTGAAATAATGAAATTAATTCAATTAGATTATAGTTATTTTTTTTGCTATTATTAATAACACCGTACAAATAAATACACAGAATGAGTCTACTTGGCTCTTTCACTGCATTCTCTGCAGTGCCTGACACAATGTTAATCTTGCCGAATCATTGCTTTTCAAAAGTCACCACCAGCAAGACCACCAGCAACACTGTAAAGCTTGCTAGATGCAAGTGCTGAAGGAAGGCCAGTCTAGTGTGAACACCTCTCGTACAAGACTGTGGTTACATTGCTGCCGTGCTAATGTTTGGGTTCTCTACGAGGCACTTCGCTCTATAGGTACAAGGTCTCATGAAAAGCTGAAGTCAACAGACTAGCCAGTTATAGCTATACAGGTTAAAAAAAGTGGCTAAATCCTAGGGGTGCATTAAGATGAAAAATCGAATACAAAGCTCCCTGGTTTGCCTGTCTCAACATGTGCAATCACAAGGGTACTCCTGGTGAAGCTATGGGCATTCTTCCACGATCCCTGCCAAATTCAAGTGCTTAATGTCGATAAAGTGATTGATTACACGACTGAAGGCTTAAGGAAGTAGTAACTCAATTACAGTGGCACTACTCAGTAAAAAAAGCAATTTATCAGACACTACATTGCCAAGAACTTAATTCCAAGTACAATTACACATAGCTTATCATACAGATGATAATTGCCGAATGAAATACCAGGCAACGTTAACTCTGAATATGCTACTCAAGCTGCAACATACACACTAGCATTCCAGGCCAGAAGGAATGCTAATGTGCACATAGTAAGTGTGCACACAACCTTTTGATTGATATGTGGGGTTCAGCGTCCCAAAACCACCATATTGCACACAACCTTTTGCTAGAAGCAAATGCAACAATGCCGAAAGTAGTTTACTGGAAGTAATCTACTAGTTCAGTTTCATATAATGTTCCTCTTTATTATCTTTTTAGGAGCAGTCATCCACTCTTCTGGACTTGAAAAACAATACCCCAAGAGAAACAAAGAAAGCAACACTTTTGGATTGTTCTTATGTTTTAGATAGCACACTAGTGAACAACAGCCACAATGACAAAAAAGAAACACAATGGATACCTAAAACATTAAAAAGGACACTGAGGAGAAACAATGAATCTGTTTGGACTGATGTATTACCTTTTTGAAAACTCTGTTTTTTTCAGCATCATAGGTTTATTAACACATGAGAAAATGATGGTCAAAGTTTCAGTATTAAATACCATACTGAAAGTTCAACACATCAATGCAAGCATGACTTCAAAAGATTTCGAAGTGACTTGTTGCATTTTAATGAGAACCAATTAGACAGTCAAGCCAAGGAAAGTATAGAAGACGTTATTTCAATTAATTGTGAAATAAATGTAAAGAAATTAAAGTGGGCAAAAAGACAACTTGCATTGGAAAAGACCGAACTTGTGCCTAACAAAGAAAAACAAGCCCTTAATTCTGATTGATTGATATGTAGGGTTTAAAGTCCCGAAACCGCTATCTGATTATGAGAGACGCCGTAGTGAAAGGCTATGGAAATTTTGACCACCTGGGGTTCTTTAACATGCACCCAAATCTGAGCACATGGGTCTACAGCATTTTCGCCTCTATCGAAAATGCAGCTGCTGCAGCCTAGATTTGATCCCGCGACGAGCAGGTCAGCAGGCGAGTACCTCAACCACTGGACCACCGCAGCGGTGCGCACCTTTGAAATCTTTCCATTCATTCATAGCGAGGGTGTTGTTCTGGCAGACTTGTAATGCCTTCAGGTGATATGCGTGGGATTATTGGTCAGCTGCCAGCTCATAAACAGATCATGTGCTACATGACACCCATAAGCATAAAAAAAGGTGCTTCAAACTTGCCACCAAGGTTATGAGTGGCGCTGACCAACAATTACAGGTTTAAATGCACAATTCTACCTGAAAAGTGGCTGACAGGAAGAGCACCACCATAGCTAAATTGGTAGAACATTGGAAACGTTATTCGAAGTTTTAGGTTTAGTCCCTGCTGGCGGCAAGTTGTCATTTCGCCCACTTTTATTTCTTTGCATTTATACCGTAATTACTATATGTCGGGTCCTGTATACTTTACCTGGCTTGCTTGTCTACCGTAATTACTTGAATCTAACGCGCACCTTTTTTCCGGTTAAGCGAGTTCATAAATCGCATGCGCGTTAGAATCGAGTACGAACAAAAAAATTACGGCCAATCTATTGTCATCGGCAAATCTAAAATGGCCGCCCCCTACGTGCGTCGGCATGGCGCGTCGGCCATTTCTGCCTATGTGTTTCCCATGTGCGGCACCTCGTACGTGTGCTGAGGAGTTCGTCATCTAGTAGTGCATTAGCATCGACGGCGTGGAAGGGCCAACTCCAAAAACTTGAGTGCACCACGATGCCACTTTTAAAAGAAAAGTCATCACGTGTGCAGAAACGGACGGAAATCGGGCCGCATCGCGGTCGTTCGGAGTTCCCGAAACATGCGTGCGGGACCGGCGGAAAAAAAAAGCAGAAGATTGTCGACAGCAAAGCTTCACGCAAAGGCTTCAATGGACCACAACAGGGTCGGTTTCCGCAAATTAAAAACCTGCTCGACGAGTATGTGCTTGAGCAGCGAGCGGCACAGCGGCCCGCGACGACAGAACTGCTCCAAGTGCGGGCTATGCAATTAGTCTTTGAAAAAGGTTTAATGCGGAGCCAGTTTAAAGCGAGCAGGTGCTGGCTAACTAACTTTATGAAGAGGAAAGGCTTTTCCCTCCGAAGGGGAACATGCATATGCGAAAAGTTTTGCGGAGGAGTACGATGAAAAGCTTCAGTTTTCAGAGGTTCGTCCTAAACTTGCGGCGCAACAACGGCTACCTGCTTGGGCAAATCGGGAATGCCGATCAGACGCCTCTTTACTTCGACATGCCTGGCACCACAACCGTTGAGAAGAAAGAGGTGAAGCAAGTTCGCGTGCTGACATCGGTCCACGGCAAAACTACAGTGACGGCAATTCTCTGTTACACGTCAGATGGGCACAAGCTTCGCCCCTACCTCATATTTAAATGGAAGACGCTCCCGAAAGGAGTCGTTTTTCGAGTGGTGTGATCGTGCGGGCCAGCGAAAAAAATGGGTGCGCGTTGCAATCGATGTCTTACGGTTTTTTTTTTTTTTGTGGCGGGAATTGTGTGCACGTTACAATCGAGGCGCGGTAGAATCGAGTAAATACGGTATTTGTTCTAATTGAGGCTGTGTTTAAAAAAATAAAAACAAGTGCCTAAATTCTACCCCTTTGTTTTTCGTATTTTGGCCACATTAGCTGTATGTAAAATCTTCAAAAACTTGTTACGTTAAGTTAGGCCCCCTTACAGGATAGTGAATTTAATCTTTATCAATACAGACAATATACACCCTCGCAGATGTGAACTTGCATATAGTGAACTAATGATCATATGAAAAGAAAGGTAGTACCAGCTGCACTAGCTTAGGCTTTCATATACAGTGAAGCTTCAGCAATACAACCAAGGCCCATACAGATTTTGGGGCAATACAAATTTTTCTTTCGTCCCGGCTAAGGCCCGTTGGCCTGCAATGCGATGGAGCACCATTGTTTCGAATAGATTTTCACCCTGCGATATTTCATGTCAAGGTAACGCTACTACACAGCTACAAATAGGCGCTGCCACAGAAGATGTGACATGCACGCACAAGTGTGAAAACCCAAGCACGGGCATGTGCACCACACCACCCGCTCATTGGAATCATGGTGTAGTAAAATACTCATCTTACACCGCGGCCAGAATAAACCTTTAATAACATGTCGCAGCCTCTAAGGTTGTGCGCGCCAATCTTGGAGGCCCTAATGCACCTTCGTGTACCCTAATGCTAATATTACAAAGAACGCTCTAACACGTCGATGCATGCCACTGTCGTACTGTATTTAGATGTGCCTGAAAGGTGGACGAGGACCGAAGAGGAGGCAAACAGTCATGGCGAAGAAGCTAGGCCTCGCAAAGTCATGCACGATTATCAGGGACACGAACACTTGCCAACCCTCCGATTGTGCGGGCACAGCCATAAATCTTCGCAGAAACATTCCCAACACCACCACGATAAAAAAATAGCAATGAACAGAGATTCTAAAATTTTCTGGCCTTCATGCATTACATGCAAAGCACTACTCAAGTCACTTTCACCACAGTACTCTGGTGTCATGCGAAAGAGAATACAAAGGTTAGGAAGGGGTTTTTAGCTGTCACTGGTCACAAAACACCTGGTCCATTATTTAAATGTGTGTGCACAGGCATGTTACTTTTTTCCCAGATATAATATGCATGTAACAAAGAAACAAATAACCAAATAAAGAAAAAAGTTCCTTATTGTTTCTTAAACAAAAATACACAACATGTCACTTACGAGTGCCGGTATGACCATTGATGTCTAAACACTTCAGTAGCAATTATTCAGAGCCACACGTGACATTGCTACGGCCCTGAGAAATAATAAATGAAAGCAAGCGCCAGCGTTCTCTCAACGCGTGCTAATTTTTCACATTTTTTGGGAGACAAAAACTTGATGTGATACGAATATTTTTGCTGACCACGAGAGATTCTTATCACCGAGGTTTTACTGCATGTTGTTTTTTCCCTGATATAGTTAATAAAAAACGAATACACAAAATGGAAAAAGAACATTTCTTACTGTATCTTGAACAAAAGCACATGTGCCATTGAAAATAGAAAGTAAAAGAAAAAGGTAAGAAAAAACAATGACTTTCTCAAGACGACTGAATGAAGAATTATCTGTGATTTCAGCAGAATGTTTCCACAACTGGCTTCCTTGAATTCTGATCAGCATTATCCCCATGGTTTATTACCATGATGCACTTGTCAAACGGTTGCGCACCGCATATGTTTAAAACAAGCAGTCCATCCCTTCCACTAATCTGCATTTTAAGATAGGTAATTAAGGAGAATAAGAATACTTTGCGAGTGTCAGTGATAAACGAGCTAAGCGCAACACCAATAGAAATGGAAATCAACTTACGCTGCCCCTGCAAGGGAGTGCTAATAAAGATGAAAGCCAAGTTTCGTGCGCCTCTGTTGAGACCACGCGGCGAACCGAAACCACGAAAAGGCATTGCCCATCGCAGTTTTCACAGACCACACAACACACTGACATTGGAAATAAGTTTTGGTTATCTTTGAAAGAAGAGTGCATATTCATTTTTTACGCTTTGTTTAAATGGCCTCTCACCAGGTCTACTTTGAGATGACAAGCGCAATGCATACAATGGGTATTCACAATCACGTCTGCCAACATTTGGAATGGTACGCGCCACGGAAATAGAGACAAATTTCAAGCTAAATGCCGCTTACTCTTCATCTCGTGGGCGTGTGCCCAAAAACGAAGGGGATAACATGCAAAACGCTGTGAAGCAATGACCCTACGCAGTTGACAACGCTTCGACGTCGTCCACAGTTGCACGTGACACTGTGATGATTATTTGATGCGACATGTGTAGTGTGTGTAATTTCTTGCTCGAATAAATTAATGAAATCTGAGAGAAACATCGAGAGACACAGACTGAATGTATGCGTTTTTCTTTTTTACTGGAAGTCGCAGAAGTCGCAGAAAAATGCGCGACTAATTCACACTCGTTCGTGTTCTCGCAATGTGCTCGTTGAGCAGGTGCCAGCCTTGACAATGGAAGTAATTTTCTCATGCTTTCTAGCACTCATTGGGCTCATTTATTCTCCCACGTCTAACTAATTGTTATGTGGCACTGGCTCATAATACCGCTACTCTCGTGCACGTAACAGGCAGTAGACCACAGGGAAAGCTGGCTGAACATAAAAACACCACTCACGTGCTTGTTGCTAGGGCTTGCTAAGGCACGTCAAGCGCATATGACCTGGTGTGCGCATGATGTGTTTATGTCAGGGTGTGGCGTTATTGTCTGTTAGTTCTTATTAATGTGTATAACAAGGAAAATAAGCCCTTAAATATACACTTTCCTTCATACATGCGTATGCGTTGTAATCTTTCCACTCGGATGTTGAAGAATACAGGGAAGGGCTTGTGAGGCTACGTGGGGCGAGTGGCAAGGGCTTTGAGCTCGCCTCCTCCTATGATGGTTTCTCGCCACTTCAACATGTTGGTTTTCTCAGGTCGCAATAAATCGATAAAAAAAATTCTTGTGTCATGATGCTCTTCATCGGGCACATAACTTCCAGCGTCTAACTAAAATTTGTTAAATGACCTGGTGGTGGCCTTTTATGTCCTATGAGTTGGCAGCACCTGCCAGTGAGCACATCTCGTTATTACAGCATGAAACTTGCGTACCCATTCAGCAAAAACACTGCGGGACAGAAAACCCCCACCGTACTTGTACAGCCGAAACACTGGTACTGCACCGAAATAAGCAGTGCAATCATTTTTCATTACCCTTTCTTTGCTCACCTTGAACTACCCATGTACTTGTAGAGCAGAAACACTGGTACTGCACCGAAATAAGCAGTGCAATCATTTTTCATTACCCTTTCTTTGCTCACCTTGAACTAAGTAGTTTATCTGCCTCCTCCTGTGTCATAAACTCCACACCACTGCCGTCCACTTGAGCATCAAGGTTAATATCTCCAAATGGATCCCCCTGCAAACGACAACAACACAGGTTCCATCTACACAGATGCATAACAAAAATGCTGACTCTTCAATAATGATGCATTTAGCTTTTCTATAAATCACCTACCACATCTCAAATGGTAAACTGTCAGTAGCTAATGATGTGCTTACAACACCAGTTACAATTGCAACTTACTTTGTATGATCGCGAATTTATGACTGCTTCAACGTTGAATAATTCGTGCTCCCGCGTCCCAAGTTCTGCCAAGGTTTCACCCGCGGCATGCTTTAAACCACTGTTGTTGCTGTACTTGTCATGGCAGACAGTGTCCTAAACGCCAAAAGGAAGAACAACTTGTGTCAGTATGGCCACAATGAAAAATTTTAGTTTTTTGAAACAAAGCACACTAGTAAAAATTTTTAAAAAGCAGCAAAAAATAGCATGCGTGCATACACACAAGAAAAAAAAAATAGAATCAAGACAGAGAACAATCCGATTAACTCTTTCGTTACCACGCCTATTCAAATTGATCACTGGTGATCGAAGCTTTAGATCGTCGATTTTCGCATGTTGGATTTGTTTCTCTTGCACCCAGCACTTTCTAGTAATTATTCCTGCCACTGAACTTTCAGAATCAACTTGAATTTGCTCGTTTTGGCAACACAGGGAATTTCGACAGACCTTTGTGCAAACCAATGTACACGTGTTGGGAAAATGCACTTGGCTGGCAAATTTGACAAAAAAGTGTGCTGCTCGTGGTTAAGCTACAGTAACATCAAAGTTCTGTGATCAAAAGAATATTACAAAGTCAAATATCAATTCAAGTTGTCAGCCTCGCCATCTGACAGTGTTTAGCTGTAGGAATTGTCAGAAATTTATGCCAGCTATTCAACAGAGAGCTGTTGCTATAAGTAGAAGAAAATTTATTCTACAAGAAATATTTTCTGAAGTCTGCCGCATGTGTAAAGTGTGGAGGTGGCCTTCTCAGCCAGTTTCCAGCAGCTTTGGTTTGGCTTCTGTGATTATATCAGACACAGGACCGCATCTGGCGTCACTAGTCGCTCCTATGGCGTCGTCACGCCCGCATGGGTGCGCACCTGCGCTGCAAAAAACACGCACCACTCGAAACTGTCTTGCAACCCCACCTGAATTGAGTGAGGACGAGCTTGGAGTCCGAGGATGACTACACCTCAGTTTCAAATAATATGGCAACAATGTTTTGCCTCAGCCTGAGGCATCCACAGCCATTCATGGGTTTGTTTTGTTTATGGCCTCAAGTTGTCTCCTCGACCACAAGTGAGTAGCTGCTGACCTTTGTGAACAATCTTATATCTACTCTAGTTACGTGCGAGTTCCACACGACGGTGGGCATGCTGGCGCCGGCTGTAGAGGAGCTTCTCGTCACAAGAAGGTCACCGGAGCAGAGCTTGTTCCTGACTGTTGAGCAGCGCGAAACATTTTAGGACGGTGTACAATATTGTTCTTTTCTTTAATACGATGTGCAAAAATGCAAATAAATATGCTTAGATGCTTATATAGGAATGCCAACCTACACAGAGTGCAGTGGCTCATAGAAAGAGGTGACACTAGACGAAATAGCGAAGTTCATTGGACAGCCGATTTATAGAGGAACTATTTAGATCACGGGCATTCATCTAAAATGGGACACCTGCACGCTCTTATCACAAAAACTACAAAAATTCACCGAGAAAAGTGTACGAGTTCACTCGCGTCTCGCGAAAAACCAAGCAATGCTTCACCGCAAGGCACAAGCAATGAAGCAGCAACTTGTGAATAGAGACATTCCGTGCAACATTTATTGTTTATTATACTGTTCCTGGGGTCATTTATCTTCAAAATGTATGTTCTGAATTTTCTTTGCTGTGAATATTTTTTGAAGATCTAGTGTTTTTTCTTGCACTGTTTACTAGCTGGCAACCAAAAATTACACTTTTTAATTTTTTTATTCATTTAAAATGTTTTTGTTGCTCTACAACATATATTCTTATGGAAAGAGCTTTTCATTGTGCACAATTTGGTATGCTGTAATGCATGCCGAAATACTTTTCAGGCTGGCAAAAACTATCTTCCAGAGACATGCGAACAATAACCATTTTGGCACAGTAACGAAAGAGTTAAGTGAACCGTATTTTTACTTAACAGTAAATAGAGATCTTTATTTCGCATCAGTTATATTTGCACATGATTCATAGCACCTGCTGAACCAGTTTAACGTGAACTGCACTTCAGCAATAATTCTAAGACCATCAAAGACAATGGCATTCTAAGACCACAGCCCCTATTCTGGCATGGCACTATTTTAGAGCAGAAGGCGACTACCGTATTTACTCGCATATTCCTCGCACTTTTTTTACCGGAAAACTGATGCAAAGTTGGGGGGTGTGAGAATTACGCGGGGGAAACTTTCCACGAAAACGTACAGAGCGAAAAAGAAAACGAAGTGCCGCAAATCGAGATTCTTACACCAGTAACTTACAGCAAGCTTTAAAAAGTACTAATTAGAACTTATCTCAACAATAAAAGCAGAGGTTCAACACAAGGGAAGATTTATCTGAGACACAAAAAGTGCAAGCAAATAGTCGAGAATTAGAATACCATACGAGAAGCATGTGGGCGTTGCGGGCGTAACGGTAGCGTTCGTCGCTCAACAGGAGCCCTCGAAAGGTAAGCGTATGACGTCAGTATTGGGCTGATGGCTATTTAACAGAATCGCCCGCAGTTTCCTCCTGAAGAAATAAGTTTACCATCAATCACAGTTTTAGGCCCACGGCAGGCCCAACGCGTCTTCGTGGCTTTCAGCTGCCATCACCAGTAGCGAACACAAAACTCGTAGACTCCGAAAGGCCTACCGGCGGCCCTGTTGCCGTCATTTAGTGCATGATCTATCACTTGCAACTTGAAGCAGCCGTGTAGCTTCAGTATCACCCCATAACGTGCCAAGATTATTGACACAGTATACAAAACACGCCGCAACGCACCCGCAACTTCGGCTTGGCTTGGATTAAATTGAATGTGCGTGCTATAGTACGCTTGATGCTTAAGAGATGGCACCGGCTATCATCATCTGTGGCTGGAACGAGCAGACGACATTATTGCGGCAGTTTTTGTAGGTGCGATAATTACGCGAGGAAAAAAAAGAAATCGTATTTTTCTTGGGCAATGTGGGGGGTGCGAGAATTATGCGAGTGCGAGGATTACGCGAGTAAATACGGTATATCCGATATTTCATGACAACACCTGCCCTATTATGTTTCAGAAGAATGAGGCAGTTTTATAGAGAACACAAAAAAGCCTACTAATGCCTCTGACGAAGTTATTTGTATGCGTAACTAAATCACCTACATGTTCTCCAGTTGCTGTCGAATTTGTTTCATTATTCCACATTTGCAGATCTAGCATCTTAAGTGATGCAGCCCTATCGAATTTGTTTATTATGCACAGAGGGCACATACAGGCAATTCTGTGAAGCCACGTGTAACTTGAAGCACCAACCTCACAAAAGCTTTTTCAGTACTGCTATAAAGACTGACATGCGTACTGAACAGACCTGGTCCAAGAACCATCCCTTTAGTGGCCATAAAGATAGCCGGAACAAAATAGTGCAATATCCGAATACCTGTTGTAAAAGCATTGTAGATCTTCCTGACGCTGCCGCTAGTGTATAGAGAATAACGCTGTTGGAAGGAGGCTCGCTGATACCATTGTGGCCAACATAATCTTGCTGAGGCCAATGAGGCACATCATCCATTTCAACTGATGGACCTAGAAAACCGAAAACCACAATCAGCCTCGTTATGACGTACAGATCCTCTTATAATTTTATTATAGAAGAGAACACTTTTATACATGTCACAGCTTTAATAATTATTGTTTGAAGTAATTTAATACTTATCATTCAAAGCCCATGCCTCCTTTTAAGGATCTGGGTGAGGTATTTGTATTATGGGCAAACTTGTGTACAACTAGCAAAATAGCTTTTTGTCTTCTAACCACTCCAAAATACAGCTTTTATGTCCAAGACACACATCACTTGTCAGAATCACTTTTCATTGCATTTATATTTTAAGCACCTGTGCAGCAATTGACTTAAGGCCTTTCTACAGCCTGGTAACAACCACATTCTATGACCGTGAACGAACTTCGTACCATAAAATAACACATTTCGTTTATCATACAGCTCTGCGAAAAATTTGCGATGCATCTGGATGCAGACAAAAACAACTTTCCCGCTCCCGCTCCAGTTCAAGTATATTGTCATTGTGAACAGTCCATTTAAGATTCAGTGCTTCCCAAGTCATGGGTATGCCCATTACAGGAAAGGCGGGCATTGGCACAGGGAGAGCAAGGTCCTTGCCTACAGCAATAGCTGAGAGGGAAGGGAAGCTAGGCTCAAATTTAGCCTTGTAACTTTTGTTATTTTGTAAGCCACCCACGGTAGCTCAGTTGAGACGATGACTGATAGCCTGGACAATATTACCAAGCTAGTGCAAAAAAGGTACCGCAAGTGGCGAATGGACATAAATGTGAATTTATTATTATTATTACATTTTGTAAAATCTTTTCACTGTCTGAATCACCTGCGTTAATAACAACTTAGAAAAGCACTGCGACTGGAGAAAGATATGAAATTTGAAATCCCTGCTTTTCTGGAAATAAATCACAGTTTGGGAAAGTTAGCTTGTTAAATGTGCGTATCAAGTTATGATTTATTCATTTTTTTAGGTCACCAAATATGACCTGTAGACCATAATGAATCACTGAAGCGTTATTTTGATCATTTTGGTTTTCGGAGCAGATTCTGGAGCAGAAAAAATTATGCTTTAGAGCAGCCTTGATTATTTTTGGAGGAGAAAAAAATGCTAGTCTGGTGCATCTATCAGTGTTTTCAGAGCAGATAGCCAGATATACCAAATGACTCCTAGAGTTTAATGCATCATTTAAGCCTTTTATATATGTATTAATAATATTAAACACACTGCACATACAGTAACCACTGTAAATTTCAAGAATCATAATAAAGCAGAAAATTTTAAAAATAAAGTAAGCAATATGCATTAACATTTAAAATGCTTGTTTTTGCGACATAAACTAGATCAAAGTTGATGAAAGTGCTAAATGAAATCAGTCACATATCAAAGTTGTCACAGCAACAGCTAGTAGGACTAAGAAGTCCTGCACACATTTCACCAAAATAGTCTGCTGGTAACGTACGAATATACAACTATATTAGACATATATAAAAATCGAAATACGTGTAGCATTGTCTGTATTGTAGTATATAAATACTATACAAGATATAGACTAGATGACAGTATACAGCTTGTTTTTGTTTTCTTTTAGACTCACTGGATAGCCCCATGGTTTAACTTGTTTTAAGTTGCCCCCCTACCATTTTGGAGCAAGTTTGGAGCATTTACTAACATATTGCCCTTTGGAGCAGCATGGAGCAATTGGAGCAGCACTTCTATCACTGACAGTAACTGCTGTGGCTAGGTGACTAAACATAGTTTTTGCTGTCACAATAAATTCCATAATGAGACTAACTTTTCAAAATTTTTTACAAATAAAATTGAAATACTTTTACTGTCAAGATACATAAATTTGATAGAGTACAGGAATGACACTAGCACAGATGTATAAGTATTGGCAGATGCAAAGGTATGCACACCTTGCATATCTATGTCCAAATGAAGTGCAGGTTTTTGCTGTGCACTGCTCACCTAGAGGTATAAATGTGTTGATAGACATAATCATCCCAAAAGTAAGCATTTAACTGAATGCTTTCAAAATGTGCATGTCTGCATTATGATTAATAACTACATAACAAGGCTGAACGGTAAAAGCAAGATCATGATTTCCTCAATCAAATTAAATTGCCCAAGTAGTTCTTTAAGATAAATATTTTCTGCCCAAATGATATATATTCAGTTTCACCTTTATCTGATAAATGTAGTGTACTGGCTAAAAAAAATTTTTTTGAATGGGTCTTTCTCCAAACAGCGGCAACTGCACAGTTTTTCCATAACAGGCTCAGTGCTAGTAAGCAAGTGATGAAATGCGGCGCAATCAATGCATGGAGTTTCTGAGAAACATTTTAATGCCAAAATAAACAGCACTACAGTTCCATAATATGCACCTCATGCGGACAAACGAGATAGCACGCTTATATAAAGCTAAAGTGTTTGCTTCTGAATGTATTCAAAGAAACGTGCTCTGTAATCAAGCACTCAGCCCCGCTGCGGTGGTCTAGTGGCTAAAGTACTCGGCTGCTGACCCGCAGGTCGCGGGATCGAATCCCAGCTGCGGCGGCTGCATTTCCAATGGAGGTGGAAATGTTGTAGGCCCGTGTGCTCAGATTTCGGTGCACATTAAAGAACCCCAAGTGGTCGAAATTTTCGGAGCCCTCCGCTACGGTGTCCCTCATAATTATATGGTTTTGATACGTTAAGCCCCACATATCAATCAAGCACTCTGTTTAAAAGAATACTGTAAGCCAGTATATCTTTTTTTTTCTCAGTGCTCATGGAAATGCAGGACAAAAAGGTACAGTAAAATCTTATTAATTCAATTGTGAAGACAATTAGCAAACTGTTCGAATTAATGAGAGTTCAAATTAGTGGCAGGCGCTAGAATGAATGAACATCGTGCCACACTACTCCAGCAGAACCCAAAGAACCCACCTCTCAACTCATCATCGTGAATTAGGCAATACTACACATTTGTGGCAGGTGATCTCAATTGAGTTCATGGAGCTCCAACGGCGAACAGAAAAATCTATCAATCAGTGATAATACGCTAGAAACAAGCACCGACATGTATTCATGTGAACAGTAAGCCCTAATGTCGAAATATATGGCACTAATTACGCTCCACGATATGTTCATTTACATGGCAGAGTTAGGTCAATCAAAATATAAAGTGATCAGTCTATTCCATTAGCTTGCACTTCTATTGTTCTGGCTCCATGAGCATCGTTTACAGCTTGTATAAGAGCTCCAGCATAGCATCAGAATTCTCATTCGCAAAGCGATGCTAGTGTATTGTAGTTTTGCATCTCTATAAATTTGGTTAGGCATGGTTGTGCAACACACTTTGATAGCTCTGGGGCTGACTTCTGCGAGGAGCTAGGGGGTTCTCTGTTCGAATTAACCGTTGTGTATACAAACGCATTCGAATCATCGGGAGTTTTCCCCTTTAGAAATATACAAGGCTGGCTCTATGGCTGGACCAAGGCACCAGCTCACACTAACACGAAGTTTGGATTAACAGGGTTTGAATTAATGAGCTTTTGCTGCATATGGTGAAAAAGCATCCAATCTGAACATACGTTGAATTATTTGTTCACATCAAAAAATACCACAACCTTTGCATGCAGCCCATGAAGGAAGTTGTCAATTTCACCTGGTTTTCTATATACGCTTTGCTTGAAGCAGCAAAAAAAAAATTGAAATAAAATTGTTTCCTCTAACCACTTCATTTGATGTAACGTTTACAAGCTCTGGTTTCATAATTTATGGATACTTACTACAGCTAAAATCTTGACTTGCAGATTATAAAACAAAACCATATTTCCTAAAGGTAGACTGTCTGCCTTAAGCAACACTGTTCGCTAATATATGAAACAAACATCAGCTCATTTGTACGATCCTGATGCAATTTATTTCATAGCATTTAATTTTTAACAGCTAAAACAGCAATTGTGCTCACTTTCTTTGAGTAAAATAATGTAGTAGTACTAACATAGCTCATTTTCCATGAAACACGTGCATCAACATAATCATCACTACCAATCAACAGTAAATCTAGAATGCCAAAGAATAAACATATAGTTGCCAGTATGCATCATTCACTTTTCTCTTAACGTCATAAGAGATTGTTTTGAATGATAAAAGTTGCTACTTTCACACTTTCCTTACAAATTAATTTAGGCCTAATGGAAAAGGTGTGATAACACTCAACACGCCAAATCTTTCAAGCTTAGTGAGCAAGAAAAGCAACGCCCATCTTGCACGAAAAACTTACCATTCTCTGTCATACAAAAAACCTAAATCAATAAAAGCAATGAAAACAATGTTAACTACAATCTATATGATGCAAAAAAAGTACATCTTTTCAGATACATTGGTGCACAACAAGCCATTCTGAAAGTGGAAACAAAACCAACAATGTGATCCAAAAAGTGGTGATCACTGGTAAGCTGAGGTCACCAATCATTATTTAGTTTGAAGCATCAATAAAATGTATCACATGCCTAGAACTTACGAATAGCGTTCCCAAAGCAGTAAAGATGAAAAAAAAACTTACAAGGGTCATGCTTGGAGGAAGCATGGTGGAGCACTGGAGGTTTAGAAGGCAACGGTGGCTTGGTATTGTTGGCCCGAGCAAACACACTTCCTAAAGGCTGTTTGGCACTGTCAGTTCCTTCTAAAGCTCCCCAGCTCTTCTCTACTTCTTGTGTTTCACCGGGGTCAGCACAGAATAGGCTATCTTCTTTTAGGTGCGCGGCGCTATGCCCCTGCTGTGGTTGGTTTGAGCACACAGGCACAGAGTTTTTTGGCAAAGGTGCATCCAATCGTTCACTCGCATGGTCTGAAATTCGAGATTCCCCAGTCCCCGAGTCCAATGAACAAGTAGAACTACTTTGAGCAGATGAGAGAGCTTGATTTGCTTCTTCACCCACAGGCTGACAGTGCGGAGGGACTGGAGGTTCCTGCAGCACAGCACTGGAATCTTCGAGTGGTCGTGGCAACTCTGCCTGCAAGAGACCATCTTCGGATGACCGCCTCAATGATTCTACCCGTGGCGGCGCAGATGGCTTTTTGTGCTGTGGCACCTTAACAGGAGGTTCAATATCAGAGGCTGCAGCATCTTTTCCAGCACATGTTCCTGGCAGCTCTGACCTTGTAACACCGTTGGAAATGGTAGAACTAGGCCCATTTCTGGCAGTGCCAATGACTGCCTCAGTACTACCTTTGGCACTGTGCTGGGAGTCTCCATTTACAAGGCTTTGAGAACATTCCTCGGCAGGCCCCTCTTCGTTCCATTTGGGAAATGATGTGGCAGGGGTGGCAGAGGATGGAGAGCTAGCTGGAGAGCTGGCCACACTTCCTTTGCGCCCCGACACAGGCTGGGGTTTTTTGGATGCCTCCTGCAGACGCTCAAACATGGCGCGCGCATTGTAAAACCGTGCAACATGACTGTCACTCCGTGTTAATGTTGGCGGTCCCGACGGTCTTGCTGCCTCGGTTGTGTTTGGCTCTAGGGGGGACGTGCGTGAGAGCGATTCATTGGAGGCAGTTTTGCAATCATCACGGGCCTGGAACATATGTGCAATTGAGCTGACCTTAGACCCTGCCTTGGAGCCTGCCGGTGCCACGCGTCGCCTCTCAGCACCATCTTGTGTCTGGTTCGTTCGTTGCTCAAAAGTTGAGCGCAGACTTGAGATGAAGGGCTTTGCTGGAGATGTAGGAGATGTAGACGTAGGTGGGGGTTCATCAATCCATCCCGTACGGGACCGTGATGCAGCCAGAACTTCTGAACGCCTGACCTCAGCCATGCTGCAGCCAAGGAAGGGTGGCACCAATGAAAGTGAAGGCTTCCTCGGCCATTACGTACCCTGCAATGACAATGCAAAATGAATCACACGGCTGCTTCTGCAGAAGACACCTCGTGCACAACTAAATGACTATGCAGAGTGGACAAAATACCCATGAAACTTATTTCAACTTAATGTATCAGGAATAACAAAAGAGGAAGAAAAAGGTGACATTCATGTTACAGATGGCAGTCTAGTAGTCAGACACAATCACAACAAGTATGCATTGTGTGCTGAGAAATGTAGATTCCAGACAATTCCCACTTCTTGCTACAAACTAATTACCCACGACAACCTATGTATTTCAGTCTCAAGTTTACAACAACATCACTGTAAGGCTGCTAGTATTACAGCCTGTGAAAATGCAACCATCAAAAGTTTTTCACCTGCCCAAGAATTCGAAATAAAAAAAACCTAAATGTAAACAATAACATTTTACTCTAGCCATCTCAGTCAACGCTGAATGCATCTACGCAGTCATGAACCAACACAACTCGCAATTCCAACAATAATACTAAAATGACAATAGTATAAATTAGTTACAAAAGTCCGACTTCAAGAGCAAAATTTTAAAAACTGAATACGCATAAAGCTGCTCACAACGCACACAATAAGCTTGCATGATATATTTACAGACAAAAGCACACGCACATTTGCGAGCAACATAACCACGAGAAAATGCCACAAAGGTAAATATGCAAGGTTTCAGTGTGCACTTTCACCCAACAAAATTAAGCAAAGGCTTCTCGAATCTTATCCTGTTCTGACAATGAGAAACATGCACAAAAAAAACACTATTATCTGTTCGTGGTCAACAAAGCAAGAGTGAGTTTCAGCTATTGTCACAGTTTACTATTTGTTGTTAGTACTGTCAGCACCATTTAAAAATGGGGCACAAAAAAAGGTCTTTATAGGCAAGTTGACACAAGACAAGAATAAACAATAGAACACACACTTAGATTAACTTTTACAAATATTTCTCTGCTGGAGCTGCATTGCAAAGCCAAAGTGTCTGCAGTAAGAAGAATATAGTAAACATGGTCATTAACTCGGGCGTTACCTGCCCATATCTAGCAGCACACTAAGTTCACGTAGCTCAAGACCACATGCAAATATGAATAAGAATGCAATAACATGAATTCAACTAACATTGTGGTTTGAAATGCACATACAACCGCATAAACTGGGCGGAAAACTGATTTAACGTTCTTTACGTAAAATCAATTTTCTCGCAGCTTGAGCCAATATATTCAGAAAGTGAGAAAAAAATATGAGAGGGGGGTGGGGGGTCACGAGGTTACCAAACCATAATTTACACATGTACAGATGACCTAAAAACATACTCCAAAATTTTGGCAGCACCCGTAAGTAAATGACAGATCTTCCGAATTGTGCGATGCCCAAACAAAGTTCGCTGACGGATGCAGGTACCGAATATCCGCTCGTGAGCTCAGGTCCACTTCCTTAACGCAAAAGTGTGCATTCGTCGAGTACTTTTGAAGGAAACAGCTTTGTGAAAAATTGCCCTATATTTACCCCGAAAATCACGGTGCGTAATGCGGAATGTAAACGAAATGCAGTGATTTGTTTTCCCGCTACAAAAGTAAACATGTTGGTGCGGAAACCTCACAACGTGTACACCCATTGCAGGGCCCAATCACCGTCCATTTAGAAATATCAAGTCTTCAGCCCACAATCATTACGCGGCAAGTCCATTAAGAACAACCAACAAAAGAAAAGCCTGGACACATTAAACAATTATAAATAAAGAATGGCTTCGGTCCAGGATTGCTATAAGCGTAAGTACTAGTACAGGTTGCTCTGAGGTACTAAAAGCAACACGATCAGTCGCACCACACGCGAAGGCAATATTTTTTTTTCCTCCCTCTCTACCAAAATAGAATGCGCGTAACGCTACTGGGCACAACCCGGCGGACCCACCGTAAAGCTGCTGTACGGAGTTCGTTCCGTAGGCTTTGCTCGAGAGCGTGACGGAGAAGGCGAGCGCATGAATAACCCTGCTGATGAGATAAGAAGTATAAAAAGAAGCTGCCGTCATAAAAGTGGAGGCAGCTGAGTCATGGACGGTCTTTGAAACAAAAACTGAGCGATGAAGGAGAAGAAATTTTTTTAAGTGCGTCACTCGGTGCACTGCAATCAAAATAAACACCAGTCTAAACGAAGGCACTGCACAGACGATCGCGAAAGGCGACCCGTGTAACCGAGTGGGCGTCTGCGGACATTTACTAGAGTGGGTGTGCTAATTGTTAACGCCATCGTGCAAGAGACACACGAGACGACGGAACACATGCAGGCGCAACACTAGCCCGCTCGGGTTAACGATTGCTGCGCTAGCAACTGCCTCCTCCCCCGGCACACTTCTTTGTCGTTGACACACAGCTTCCGGACGAGCCGCGTCCGTGCGTGAATAAGCAAACGGTTACGTATTGTCATAGAACAATGTGTAGTGCAAGTTACATCCCACTAACTCACATTGATGATTCACGAGGCAAAAGCAATGGAAATCCTGTACCATTCAGCCGTCGCTCGCAAAATGAGAACCCGCCGATAACGCACGTCGCTGGCCCGCCGCCATGTTTTGGAGCGTTTAAGACTGAGGCGAGGAGGAAAGCGCAAGAGAGGCGCAGCAAGGGTCTTCGCCCTCCAGCGGCAGAAATCGAAAGCACTGTTGACCTGTGTAGGAGTCACGGGAGCTCCGGAGGCTTCTAACCATGTGCGACAATGCACAAAAACAGAGCGCGACCAGCGATCGCTCCGGCGGCAACGGTGACTCCGACGACTGCGCGCTGTTGAGGGTAGCGTAGTGGAGCGAAAGAGAAACGGGATCGGCTATCGGTGAACCTTCTGAGGGGAGCTTTACAGTGAGAAGAATCAATCGCGTTGCAAGGGCGTTATGATTCAGTCGATGTTCCTTCGCCTGTGCTCAACTACTTTATCGCGTCAGTAACATCAATGTGCTCTTTTATTTCCATCCTCGACTATTATTGATATGTGGTTCACCACATGAACCTTGCGGTACCCGTCAGAGTCAACTGTAGATTCGACCGACGCGTGCACCGAATGCAGATTGATTGATTGATATGTGGGGTTTAACGTCCCAAAACCACCATATGATTATGAGAGACGCCGTAGTGGAGGGCTTCGGAAATTTTGACCACCTGGGGTTCTTTAACGTGCACCGAAATCTGAGCACACGGGCCTACAACATTTGCCCCGCCGCGGTGGTCTAGTGGCTAAGGTACTCGGCTGCTGACCCGCAGGGCGCGGGTTCGAATCCCGGCTGCGGCGGCTGCATTTCCGATGGAGGCGGAAATGAAGGAGGCCCGTGTGCTCAGATTTGGGTGCACGTTAAAGAACCCCAGGTGGTCTAAATTTCCGGAGCCCTCCACTACGGCGTCTCTCATAATCATATAGTGGTTTTGGGACGTTAAACTCCACATATCAATATCATCAATCGGGCCTACAACATTTCCGCCTCCATTGCACCGGATGCAGGATTATCCGATAAGGGGGGAGGGGGCGGTGGATGGGGTCAGCTAATGGGGCGTCAGCAAGCAAAGTTTAAGCACACGGGCCTCTGGCATTTCGCATCCATCTAAATGCGGCCACCGCAATCGGTATTCCATCCCGCAGCCCATCGGGTCAGCAGAACAGCTCTATAACTACCTCGACCACCGAGGAAGCAAGACGACAAGACTTCATCACAGGAATTCATACCCACACCTTTAATCATCCTTCGATTTCCCTTGTCTAAACACGCTGAAACGTGCGATGTATTCATATGAACGAAATTCATTAAAATGTAGTCTATATGTGCTATGTTCTCTTCGACGCAATTTTAGTTACTTAAAAACTATAAATAGCGCAAGAACCTGAGAACGCACAAGAAATTAAAAAAGGACGTTGCTTGTCAATTGACAACTACTTCTTACAATTGTCCAGTTTTATTAATTGTCCTTTCTCCCGTTCTTGAGCTATTCGTTATCCTTTACTATTATGCACCAAACCCAATTCAACCCCGTAGTGGTGGCCTAGTGGCTAAGGTACTCGGCTGCTGACCCGCAGATCGCGGGATCAAATCCCGGCTGCGGCGGCTGCATTTTCGATGGAGGCGAAAATGCTGTGGGCTCAGATGTGGGTGCACGGTAAAGAACCCCAGTTGGTCGATATTTCGGGAGCCCTCCACTACGGCGTCTCTCATAATCATATGGTGGTTTTGGGACGTCAAATGGCACATATCAACCAATCAAACCCCGCATAGTGCCTTTATTCTAGTATTATATAACGCTTCTATGACATGTTTTCCTGTTTTGGTGGTTCCATACTCCTGGAATCTTCACTCCGAGCTGCGGAAGACCATAACGGGGTAATTAGCATCTTAGAAAGGTGGCGGATTTCATGAATTGATATGAGGGGCAACTAGTTAGTTGCCCCTCATAAGTTAGATCGTTAGCACGCTGTTAAACTTTGTTAGTGCTTTTTTTTTAAACGCGAAGCATTTCTCAGCAAACTTCGGCGACTTTGAGCGTATCTATCTATCTAGCCGCTTACGTTTGGGTGCTCTCGTGGTCACCCCATTTACTTGGCATCGGTGGCGTCGTCCTGACTAATGCAAAGAATAAATGTCAGGGTCCCAGGTGAAATCAAACCCAAGCATTCTGCGTGGCAAAGAAGCCTTTTACACCACAGAGCTACGCCAGGTCTCGAAACTACTATGCAAATACACGCTAATCTTCATGAAACGTCAACAGTGGTTGCAGTGCTGACTACCCAAATATTATAAACATTAGATATGTACTCATTTGATACAGCCGTCAAGTCGGTTTAACGTTTATTGTGCTTACTGGCCATGCGCTGAAGCTGATATATCTATAGCAGTGTACAGGGCCAGAATCTTCGCGAGCATCAGCACTTCATATCAGCTTCTGATGTTGATATAATATGCCTGTTCCAGTTGGCATCGTTGCGCAAGTGCAAACAACGGGTTATATAAATATCTGCAACTTTTCAACATATGTGTGTGCGTGCGACATTTGTACATTAATTTAGCGTCATTTCATGACGTGTCGCTCCATAAAAAAAAATTGCAACACGTTCACTTTTCTTCCGCATGCTTCGCATAACGTGGATTCCCAGGTACGTGGGATCTGCCGAATCATTTTTTTTGTGTTTGTGTGGTTTTAAAATTGCTACCTAATAACCTTCCATCTTTCGCCCACTGTGTACCACTTAAAAATGTTTAAAAAGTTAAAGATGGTCTCTCGATGCCAGCACAGTCAAATCAGAAAAAAAAAAACATAAGAATCAACTTGAACTTTGGTGAATGCCTCATTTACCCTGGTCGGTGGCTAAGTGGTCTTTTACTAGGTCAAAAAAAAAAAAAATTGGGGGATCTTTAAGCTAGCGATATCCAGTCCCGTGTGCGTACTTCGACCACTTAGTGCATACTTTGTGTTGTATGTTGTTGCTCGACACGTTCAAATTGTGGATAACTACAATGTAATCGATAAGATTTAAAATGGCTTTAGTCAGTGAAGCTTTCGCATATGGTTGGATTTTGTGTAGTGGGTAGCATGCTTTAAACTACGAGCAGTTATGCGCGTAAAATGTTTTACAACTTGCTATGCACATGTACACACGTGGAATACGCGCAGCAACGTGTGCCCCTTCTTTATGGGCGGCCGGCCGGCTTTAAAGGACGAAGTCGTTATGATAATCGCATGTTCTGACGTCCGATGACAATGTACGCTTGTACCACGCAATATTATTTACTGCGACATCATGTCTTGCACTGTGAAGCCTGTGTATAATTTGCATGTGCTTGTAAAGCATGAACATTATTTTCACTGCATTTCCAAGCAGAGGAAGTTATTTTCACTGTATACTTTCAAGCAGACGTTTGTCTGGGTGGTAGAACACCTGCACTGCCACGCAAATGGCGTGGGTTCGGTATTCCCTCGGACCCCGAGTCTTTTATTTTATTTGCATCTTGTCTGATTTTCCGGTCACGGACAAGATGATTTTTTACTCACAGCCAATGACACCGACGCCGTAATTTTTTTTTGTAACGAAAAAAAAAAAAACTGCAATTCTGGGTGAGTTCTGAGTGGAAGTGTTCAGCAGCTGATGGAAGGTGGAAAATAATGCAGTTTCCCTTAGTTCTGCTAGGCCTGAAGTAAATGCGGAGGTGGACGGCCTTCTTTGTTTCTCTTGCTACCTTGTTTTTTTTTTTCTTCTTTTTTAGGTAATTAAGATTACAGCACAAGAGTATACCTCGCCGCGTAAGAGCACAAGGTATACCTCTTACACGCCAGTGTATTCGAATGCCTTTGTAAGCACACGATGTGCGCACGACTAAATTGACGCAGAAACGTCTAACTACTTCGCAACGAAATAATTGGAAGCGCAAACCAACGGGACACAAGAGAAGAGACATTGTCTCTTCTCTTGTGTCCTGTTGGTTCGCTCTTCCAATTGTTTCATTATGAATTTGTACCAACTAGCCCGCCTGTCAATCCTTCTGCTTCGTAACGCATGGCTCGAAGTGAAAAACCCGGCATAGGCTGCCGGGTTTTTCTGACTGCCTTCTGACTACCTTCTGACTGCCTCGCATGATTCCCACATTAGGTATACATCTGCCACATTCTTCTTTTACCCTCGTCTTTTAACTTCTATTCATTTAGCAAATAGTTTTCATCTATTGGAGATATAGTTCTCCCAATGCTTTTTTTTTTCTGCCCTAAAGACGCAGAGTAAAACTCCAGCGCACTCTTCGCTGACCGTGTACTTGTCCAGAGCACACTCAAATAAAGCGCACCACTTCTTAAGATAGTTGTCCAACTCGGTGACCGGCTTTCTTGTTTCACCATTTTGTCAAGCTAAAGTTTTGATAGTGTGCAGGTCACAGAGCGGTGCCACGGCGGCTGCGTTGCGGTGTGGTGGCCCCAAGTGTTCTGTGTGGCCCCGGCACGCGGCTGTGCTTAACGTTTCTAGAACTAAGTTCTAGAAA